GCTACTTCATCCTTTTGGGATTCCCTACCCGTGCAGAGCTTCAGGTTCTCCTCTTTCTCCTCTTCCTCTTTGCTTACCTGATGACCCTGGTGGAGAATATGATAATCATTGTAGTCATCTGGGTCAATAATAACCTTCATAAGCCCATGTACTTCTTCCTGTGCAACCTCTCCTTCCTCGAAGTCTGGTATATTACTATTACTGTCCCTAAAATGCTGGGAGATTTTGTCACACAAGACAAACGTATCTCCTTCCAAGGCTGCCTAACACAGCTATATTTCTTTGTCAGTTTTATGTGCAGCGAATTTGTTCTTCTGGCTGTTATGTCCTATGACCGGTACTTGGCCATATGTTATCCACTTCATTACCCAGTTCTCATGAACAATACATTATGTGCTTGGCTTTCGGCAGGAAGCTGGATGTGTGGTTTTGTCACCTCCATGATCAAACTTAGCTTTATTGGCCAACTGAAATACTGTAGCACTTACAAGATCAATCACTATTTCTGTGACATTTCACCCCTCTTGAATGTCTCTTGCACTGATTCATCCGTAGCTGAACTGGTAGATTTTATCCTGGCTCTAATGGTTATCATGGTACCTCTCTGCATGGTTGTTACATCGTACATTTATATCATCTCAACAGTTCTGAAGATCCCTTCAGCTCAGGGAAGAAAGAAGGCTTTCTCTACGTGTAGTTCTCACCTCACAGTGGTGGTGCTCTTTTACTCCACCACCCTCTTCACCTATGCACGGCCCAAAGCTATGTATGCCTACAACTCCAACAAACTTGTGTCAGTGCTCTACACTGTGATAGTTCCTCTTTTGAACCCTCTAATATATTGTCTCAGAAATAAAGAAGTAAATTGTGCCTTGAGGAAAACATTTTCACGTTAAGCAATTATTCAGAGTAGCTCTTTACCATCATGGGAAACAGATGGAAGAAGATTAAAATTGGTGCCTCTGCCTCCATTTGCAATGTTCTCCATACCATTTACCTTCTTTTCTTCATGCAATTGAGCCAATTTCTTTCTCGTTTCTGTTCCCTTTCTCTCCCTTTCTCAGAAATACAGCTCAGGTATTTTTGTATTCTTAGGTATTGATGTATCCTATAATAAAGTGGAATTCACAAGAAACAGCTGGTCTCATTTTTTGAGAAAGCATAGTTCTATTTTCATAAAATCATAGAGACATAAAATTGATAGAAGCCATCAATGCAACAGTCTCAATTAAAGCATAATGATGGATATCCATCTTTTGCTTAAATGTATCAGTGAAGGATAGCCAATCATCTCTCTGGGTAATGGATTCAACTGTCAGACCTCTCTGAATGTTAAAACCCCCCCCCCCCCCAGTATTTCAGACTTTTTTACTTTGTTCACTGAACAAAATAGAGTTAAAAATCTGTTTAGGCTAAATACTATGTTGATTTTTAAAAAATTAATCTCTTTTGGTCTTTTGGGACATTGGTTAACAAGTGGTCAGATCTGAAATAATAATAATAATAATAATAATAATAATAATAATAATAATACACACCATCTATATTATCCTGTCTCTATCATCTATTCATCTATCTAAAAGCAATATTTGGATGAAATGATTTTCAATGCTTCATTTGGTTAGCCTCACAACTCACTCACCAATACCTGTTGTTGCAATTTGTCATTAATAAATAGGGATGAATTTTTCCTACATCTTGTGTATAAATGTTCTGTTGTGTAATGATAAGAATAGTATCCCTCCTAGTTGAAGCATAACCTATATTTTTTATAGAAAAAGGGAATCCAAGTACAACATTCTTAGCCTGGAAAAGTATACTGTATATCTTCTCTCTTAAGGGAATATAATTTACACAATCCTGGTCTTGGTATAACAAATTGAGCATATGGAAATGCTAGACTGGGTTATACAAACAATAATGCCTGGAGATGTGTTGGGAGCACATCTTATCAGGGATTTGGCCATAACTTAACTGGACTGTCTGCTGTCAGCCCCATGAAGTAGACCAGACCAGAAAACCAACTCCACAGGAAGACCAGCACTACCTTTTATTGAGGCTGGCTACGATACCAGCATTTTGAAAATCTGGTTATGCTGTACCTCCTTTCTTTCTTATACTCCACTGAATCTGGGAAATATTTGCCTGAGCCACTTCCAAAAAATATCTTGTTTCCCAGGACTTAAGAGATGTTTTGCTTCCTTTGCCTACGTAATGGTTCTTGCATATTTCTGTCAAGGTCATCTCCCTTACTCTGTACACTCCAGAGACCTTTTTAAAGAAGACAGGGTCCCAGGAGACATCATCTGGGGATAATCTGATGACATCGCTGGTCAGTAACTTGGGAACTCGGGTAACTGACCTTCTGCCAATAGTAAAGCATTGGTTAAAACAGACATCACTTGGGGATAGTCTGATGGCATCTCCCATCAGTAACATGGAAACCCAGATAAGAGACCCTAAGTGTTAAGAATATTTTTTTTGGAAAATATTTTTTTTAATGTGCAGCTATTGCTTCTCCTTCCCTTGGGTGTTGGACTAAGGACTCATGTTGTTCCTTTCATCTTCATTGCTATAAATGGGAACACAGATTAAAGGCTAACAAAAGAAAGTGATACACTGAGGCAATCCACAAAGCTTGCTATGAAACTTTTTCTAATTTTGCACATGTGGGAGAATTTACTCACATTGGCCAAATAATCCTTTCTACATAGGTATTTCTTATATATGCAAAGGGAAAAAGTTGTCCACGTTACTATATCCTCGCCAGTCTTCTGTGATACCAGTAAATATCTCTGGGCCCAAAAAGAAATGTTCCAGGCTTTAACTGGAGTATGCTATCAAGAGGGAGGTCAGGAACTTTTTTTTTTCTAAAATTTACAAAATGTTTAAATATGAATGGCATTATTTAATTTTATATTTACTTTATGAAATTTATACTCCAAGTTCAAACAATGAGTGGTATGGATATACATGTCAAAGGAATTGTTGAGAATGAAGTAGCAGCCTAAAACATGTACTATTGGTGGGCAACCAGCTCTAAGTCTTTGTTTTGTACTCTAAGAATAATGAAAATGGAATGCAGAAGAAAGTGAGTATTTTAGGCACCAGCAGTTTCAAGAGTCTGTCAGTAATTTGGCTCCCAAGAAGTCCTGTTTAATCTCCCTAGTTTAATTTATTTATTTTAAATTAGTGTATTTACTTTATTTATTTTCTTTTGAAGTGTTGAAAATTAAAAAGCTGTGTGTGTGTGTTCATGCACATTTCTTCTTCTTCTTCTTCTTCTTCTTCTTCTTCTTCTTCTTCTTCTTCTTCTTC